CGGAATAGAGAGCGCATCTGTGCTTGCGCAATCACTTAGGCACTATTATCCTGCCCTGCGCTGATGGCTAGTCTCATGGAATACTGAATATATACTAGGCCAGTCTCCTTTAAGGCTGGCCATCGTGACCGAAGTTCGGTCTGGAGGACATTAATTATCCAAAGAGAGATATGTGTTATTAAAATATTATGTTTTATTCTACCAATAATCTTTGCAAGCTGTATGTTATAAATAAACGTGGAAAAGTCTAATTCATAAAGTTTCTATACATTATTAGTTATCAATTATAAACATTAGCGGCGAACGTAATTTGAGCGTGCAGATGATTGGTGATTTCGTAATTCATAATATCTTATAATTTGTCTAAAGGTATAAGTGTGTATCAACTACGGCAAAGTGTGCCGGGTTCGAATCTCGCAATGTTGTAAATCTTTTTTTAGTTTTATTTATTATATAGGTTTCTAACCCACATAGCCGTACACATCGGCATAACTAAATGATTAATTGCAGATATACTTTGATCAAAAAATGTACCATTACTTATTATTTTATTAATATATGTACTTTCAAAAACTATTTAAATATTTTATGAATAATTAAAATGAAAAAAAAAATGTGTATATCTACATATTTATTTACGTATATAACTGGGCTCTCGGAAACTAACTACTTAACTCTCTCGGGAACTCGTAACTTGGTACTTAGATAATGTTTTGCTTTACCTACAAATTTACGTTTAATGAACACCTAGATCCAGAAAATTTTTGATTTTTTCTAATTTCGAGCAAAGTTCGGTTCTCCAGGAGCCATAATATTATACACACATCATACAGCTTGCAAAGATGATTAGATGAATAAGGAATGAAATACGTAGTATGTTTTGCCGTCGCGATCACGTTGTGTTGACCATACATACATACATACATACCAAGGGAGTTATGATTATAGTTCTGCGTGAAAAAGTAGCCTAATGCTCCGGTTAAGTATATTTAATTTTAAGAACCGGAGATCCAAACAAGGCATTCCATCTAAATTCTCAGGGGCGTCAACGCATAGATATATACAGATGCGGGAGTGAGAGAGAGGATAGATGTAGATGTCTATGTGCTACAACATCCACTTACCATCAGGTAGACTGTGTGCTCGTTTGTCACCCTTATTATATAAAGTAAAATTAATTAATAAACATCACTAAAATACCTTAAATACGATATGAATAAGGCTAAGGGTACACAGTTCAGTAAAAATAACCTTTAATTATCTGTTTAATGTACACCTATTCAAAAATCAGAAAGCCTCACATTTAATTTAAAACCGTTTGCCTTATTTAAGCAGGTTTCCACAATAGGTACCAGTACGGTGAAACCTTACATCTTTGCCCACATATTTCGGTTTTTATTACTTTTTTCAAAAAATTGCCACTTTATTTTGATGGTTACTGAAGATTTAAATGACACTCTATGCAACAAATAAACTGTCAAAACCAGGTAACATAATTCCTAACAGATGTTGAGAAAAAAACAAAAAACAGACGTGGGCAAAGTTATCTCCACTTTCTTACATCTTTGCTCAGCCTAAATTTCTCAGCAACTATAAGTTCTACGACTTTGATTTTAAGATGTATTGTTAGCAAACTGACAAAATGGTATACCATTACATTTTGAAACAAATAGAAGTCTACTTTAAGTTTTAATGGCGGTGGGCAATGTTATCATCACATTTAGTTACACTTTCATACTAAGAGATTTGAGGTGCTAGGGCTGTGCATCAGATGGAGAGTAGACAGAACAGACAGAAGGAAAATAATACACTGATTTTAAGACAATAATGTATATTTTATTTTAAAAATTAAAAACAAAAACTAAATGAACAACAAAAAAATCAAGAAAATCAATGTTTGGGTAAGAAAGTTCAAGAAAGTTGTTTCAGAAATTAACCCTGATAGTTGAGATAAGAAAAAGTAGACAGCGACGATACTTATTTAATATAATACGAGGTCAGCTTATACTGATTTTGTTACCACTGATGTGAGTGATTCACCTACTGTACGTAGTACCAATCCATTTTGTCGGCCACTTTTATCTGCGATCGTTAATGTTTGTCGTTGAGGAAACAATTCTCTTTTAGACTTAATTTTTTTTTGCAAACGAATTGCCGCATAAATCTTATTTAAAAACTTTAGCTTGAAACTGAAAACATCTCAAGCCCTCTCTTTTGGGAAACTAGCAGTTTCTGACAAAAATTCCCAACAAATATATACCTATTTATTATATTTAAAATAACATATAAAACAGTATCTAGTTACCTATATAGTTATCAGAACAGTAGTTTAGTTTGCAGTTAAAAGTAGTTATTGTTATACAGTTTTTTTTATATACCTATATATATTTATTTATTTTATTAAGTATTTCTATATATTTACATTTTATTATATAGTTTCATGTTCATTACATGTTTCCTTGTTTTTTTTTTCAATAGTGTTTACCCTAATAACATTTTTGAGCTGGGCAATGTTGTCGACCTCAGTTTATAAAATTGCTTACAACATTACCCTCACAATTTTCTCGCTAACTAAGACAAGTGTAAGAAAGAGACCTTGATTAAAAACAACAACAATTAATGCTCTACACGTAAATAATGATGAATATAATATTAGTCAGTGCTGTCAAACAGATACTCTAGTTTTCCCTAGACACCATACAAAGTTGACATTTGTTAAAATAAAATGTCTATCGGTAGTTTTAGTTAATTTTCGTGTTTGGGCAAAGATGTCCCCCAAAGGCAAAGTTGTAAGGTTTCACGGTACACAATTGAAAATTGTTTGTTTTGTCGCTGACCCGAATTACACGCGACAAAGACAAAATTGTTGTAATCAAGCGTCCGGTCTTCAGTTCTCAGTACGCGAAACCCAGGATTACCTTACATGAATTTAGAATTAGCTTAACAGTACATTGTGCGAGGCAGATTATGAATTAAACGTATTGTAGATAATTAATTAGATAATGCAATCCCTCCTAATGTCGGGCGTTAATTTTAGGAAGCTCTATATACTTACGATTCGATACATTCAATATCGTATTTTGAACAGCCTATCAAAGTTCCACTGCTGAAGATAGGCCTGGGATGCCACGCTTGGCAAGCATGTTGGCAAACGCAGTTTTTTTATTTTAAGCTGTTATCACTAAGGTGCTGCTGGCCATCTTCTGTTTCTTTTCCCTCCATCGCTTTTTACGATACCCTGTCTGGGATAGGGGGAATATCCCCCAAATATTCATTACACAATATCATCCGCCACTCTCAAACTGCATGTTCATTATTGAAAGAGATTCAGGTGGTAGGTCGCAAAGCCTCTGCAACGTCGTATGCTTTTTATCGTAAAATTATTTTAATCAAATCTTTGCAAAAAACGTACTTGTCATTTTACCAATTATTGACTTTGTGGATGGAGTTTTTGTTTGCAACATCTTAAAACATTGGATCATCTTCTTAAAAACTATATTTTCAATTTTCTATTTTTTTTTACGCTTGTCTCTAATTGTATATATCTCCATTCTTTCCACTATGGATATCGCCTGGAACAGCACACATTTATTTTTAAGGTTTCTGAAGATATTTTATAAGGGCTTTGAATATTTTACTAGACAATATTTTAAAACATTATTTTGTCATGGTTGATCATATTATAATAAATTGTAATATTTCATTACTTAAAATTTTTGGTTGATTATTCAACTTTTTTACCAAAAATATTACACAATGTACACACACGGGTCAAATTTGGGTTATCATTATTTACTGTCACAAATTATTTACGGTAACATTTCTTTTAAAATAATTTATTTCGGCCTTATTGTATTGATCATTTCTTTAATATAATGTGGTTAGATGAACTCACTCTCTGATGAACGAAAACGCTACTAAAGACATTTCAGCAACCTCAAGTCTCGTCTCGTCGATGCTTTATCCCTTATATTCTAGCAAAAGAACCGTCTAAGCCCTTTTTCTACTAACCTTCTATTACTTCAGGAAGCTTAAGACCCAATGTGGCGGCATCTAACGGAAGTTTTACAAAAACTTTGTTAGATTCTACGTGTGCCAATAATATAATGTAGATGGCGTTGATGTTTTGATTAACAAATAAAAACCGAAAATTTATTATTTTTTTGTTATATAGGTACATAAAGCAAATATTATTTTTATTGTTATTTGTTTTCCATCATTTTTACACGATTCAACTAATTTTCTATCTAATAATTGCCGCAGAGAACATTACACAGATTTTATAGTAAGAAGCGGTAGAAACGTGCTGAACGCCAAGGCTCAACGCTTCAAGTGTGTATAATGTACGAGTATTATGTTTAAGGCTTTTACATTGCTCAAATCGTGAAAAACGCCCAGGTTTACAAAAAGTTATAGCCGAATCCTTTTGTTTATTTGCTACAAAAAAATTAGGTTTTATAGTTTAGATCGTCACAATTTATTTGTATTGTTTAAAATTTTTGAATATTTGACCATTATTACAAAAAAAAAAAAATCAAAGGCAAAGGCTGTTTTAAACCTATTTTGTATTTTTTCTCAAGAACGGCTCAATAGTTTAAGATTAAATTTATATTAAAATATTTGTTAAATCATAATTAAAAAATGTATTGTTTTTTATTGTATTTTTGTTAAATATATTTCTTAAAATATAGTAAAACATAATTTGGCCCCTTTCCGCCACCCGAAGCTCCCCCCGCTATGGCTCTATACGGATATTCACCAATACCTCACCAGTGTCAGTTCGACTCTTGCGACTGGTGGACTGTGCGCGCGTTATTTTCTGACAAAAATATTAAAAAGTTCGTAATATTTCAAATTTATAAAAACAAATTTGTTGTAAATAAAACGTACATTAGTAATATATGGTAAAAAATTAGGAATTAAGTTGATTTATGTAAATAAAATTGTTTTTAGTTTTAGTTTTGTATATAATCGTATCATAGAATAGACTAAGCTTGACGATGCCGAAATACCAAAGCAAGTCAAAAGTGAAGCGGGGCCAAGCTCTTGTAAACTATTGGTAAGTAAATTATCCTTATTTATTTTCTTTTGCGTAAATACTTATACAGAGTATGGCAGCGTTCCGAAAACTGTCGTGTTCCCTCCTATTGTATAGGTGGGGAACTCCTTTAGCCGTAAATAAGGCTGGTACTACAAAAAAGTCTAGTGAAAAAAAATATGAACGTGACCATTTTTGGCTGGTCTGATGCTACAGTCCTGCACTCCAAAGGTGGGTACAGGATCTCAGTGACGGAACCACGTAGAACCATCATGTTTGTACTCATTTGAAAGGGCTCGCAGCTACCAAGCTGTCTGTGATGATTACACTTACCTGATGCTGCACTCCGAAGTAGTCCGATGGTGGGTACAGGATATTAGTGACGGAACCACGTAGAGCCATCGTGTTTGTACTCATTTTAAAGGGCTCGCAGCTACCTAGCAGTCTATAATGATTTCATTTACCTGATGCTGCACTCCGAAGTAGTCCGAAGGTGGGTACAGGATCTCAGTGGCGGAACCACGTAGTACCATCGTTTTTGTACTCATTTTAAAGGGCTCGCAGCTACCTAGCTGTCTGTGATGATTTCATTTACCTAATGCTGCACTTCGAAGTAGTCCGAAGGTGCGTACAGGATTTCAGTGGCGGAACCACGTAGTACCATCGTTTTTGTACTCATTTTAAAGGACTCGCGGCTATCTAGCTGTCTGTGATGATTTCATTTACCTAATACTGCACTCCGAAGTAGTCCGAAGGTGGGTACAGGATCTCAGTGACGGAACCACGTAGAACCATCGTGTATGTACTCATTTTAAAGGGCTCGCAGCTACCTAGCTGTCTGTGATGATTTAATTTACGTCATGCTGCACTCGAAGTAGTCCGAAGGTGGGTACAGGATCTCAGTGGCGGAACCACGTAGTACCATCATTTTTGTACTCATTTTAAAGGGCTCGCAGCTACCTATCTGTGTGTGATGATTTCATTTACCTAATGCTGCACTCCGAAGTAGTCCAAAGGTGCGTACAGGATCTTAGTGGCGGAACCACGTAGTACCATCGTTTTTGTACTCATTTTAAAGGACTCGCAGCTACCTAGCTGTCTTTGATGATTTCATTTACCTGATGCTGCACTCCGAAGTAGTCCGAAGGTGGGTACAGGATCTCAGTGGCGGAACCACGTAGTACCATCGATTTTGTACTCATTTAAAGGGCTCGCAGCTACTTAGATGTCTGTGATGATTTCATTTACCTGATGCTGCACTCCGAAGTAGTCCGAAGGTGGGTACAGGATATCAGTGACGGAACCACGTAGAACCATCGTGTTTGTACTCATTTTAAAGGGCTCGCAGTTACCTAGCTGTCTGTGATGATTTCCCTTACCTTTTGTGAAAATGCTTTTATTGTATAATGCTTTTGTTGTTGAGAGTGACTGTTGAGATAATATTTCTAATGTAACTTTATGTTTTTAGGCAATTGGAAATCAGCGGGAAATTCCATTCAGGAAATCTGGGTAAAGATCCGTCAACTGAATCTAATGCATTACGTTCATCTACGACTATTGTAGAAACTCACGTTCCGTTCGGTATGGCAGTTGATGAGGACACTTCATCGCCAGATATTACGGTAGCTACTTTCTACAATTATGAGTACCAGTCTATTTTTAATATTGTTAAATTGAACTTTGTCTCCTGGTGCCCCATTGCGCATTAATAACCATTCGTTTTTGTAAATAAAAACGTACTGAGGAAACCTACAAGTCTGAGAACCCATAAAATTTGAGAAATCCTTTTTTTTATATAGAATAGGGTGACAAACGAGCACGCAGTCCACCTGATGGTAAGTGGTTGCTGCGGCCCAGAGACATCTACATCTATCCTCCATTAAAAATCAAAATGCAGATGCGTTGTCACCCGTGAGGACTGAGATGGAATGCCTCGTTTCCAGTAAAAAAGGGTCTCCGGTTCTCTACACTCACCATACGAAATACAGCAGCAGCAGCAGCTCTGTGAGAGCGTGGTCCCTCCCCGGTCGACCCGACCCATACGTGCTACAACTATACTACTAATATAACTGCAGCATGGCTCTACCACGTAATAAATCCTATCCTATATGGTCAATAAAAATAAGCAAGATAATATTATACACAGAAGTTTTTTTGTATATGAATTAAGCAATGTATTACATGATAATTATTTTGTTCTCAGCACCAACAAGATGACATTTTACCGGATTTAACTATTAAAAAGATTCAACCAGAAACAGAAAAAATAAATATATCTAGCAGTCGAATTGTTGATATAAAATTCTTTTTTTTTAAATTGCAAGAAATCAACAATCATAGCCCATATAACTGTGGAGTACAAAGTTTAAAAATGTTGAAGAGAAACGAGTTGGATTGTTATCCAAGTTTACTCTAGAATGTTTAATGTGTAAAGGAAAGTTTTTATTAAATAATATCCCAGGTGATCTGGAAAAATACAGAATCAGTCGCTGGTGCATCGATGTGTTAAGAAAAGTTTATTTTAAATGTCTTCGGTGATTTGGACATAAATACAGCTGTGGTTGCCGGTGCAGTTTCTGTTGGTATAGGCTACTCAAAATTAGATGAATTACTATCAGTGATCAATTTACCTATGATGAAGCATCTGTACCAAAAATAGCACGAGTTTGTTTCTGACGCCTGGGAAAAGCACTTGGTCAATCCATGCAAGAAGCCGCAGAAGAAGAAAAAAGAATTGCTTTAGAAAAAAGTCGTGTAACCACTGATGCCACTCCTATTATAGATGTTATTGCTGATGGATGTCGAAGTAAGAGGTCTTATAAAAAGAATTAGGTAGTTTATCAGGTAATGTAGAGGTAAATAAAAAAAATGGTCGTGGTGGGTGACGTTCATTCTTTTAAACAGGTATTGTTTAAACTACCCCTACAGTTTATAGAAGATACTTCTATTATCTGGGATGAGGTCTATTCCTATAAATTATTGATTTAAAAATTAGTCCGACTAGGCTAGCCCAACTCCGACCGTAGGGTTAATTGAAGGTTAGGACACATATTCTTGTACACATCTTAACACTAGAAAACAGGATAATACAGTGATGACATATGGACCTGAGACGTGGTCCCTCAATGCTGGGCGTATGAAGAAGGGTCGAGGGCAAAGTCGAGGATGGCTATGGCATAAACCGCAAATAAATAAAAATCAGAACACTAATATCATTACAAATTTTCTCCACGCGGCGCGGTTATCAATCAACGTTGAACACAAGAAGTATTCGTACACTCCAACTGAACTGCATTTATATAGGATAAGTGGACATACGATTATTTTTTTTATTTTATTTATTTTACACTTTATTGTACTAAAGGTACAAACGGCGGACTTAATGCCATATGGCATTTTCTACCAGCCAACGATTACACAGTCCTCCAGATACTATGTGGATGCTGTAGCCCGTAAACTTCTGAATCTATACTCGAATAATGATCAAAACGAAGAATGCAATGTCACCCTTGAGGACTGAGTTGAAATACCTAGTTTTCTATGAAAAGTGAGGACTTACTTCAAGTAAGCCGCATTCTCGTTTATCCCTATAATAAGTGTTACGACCGACGACGACCATATCAACATCCTACACTAAAAAAATAAAACTAAAAACAACTGAATACATTGCCTTTAAGTTTTCGAATTTCACCAACATGTCCAAAAATTACGTTTTTTTTTTATAAAACTGAAGTGACATGCGAATCTTTAGTACACCTTATTGTAGGTGACTTTTTTTTATAGAATTGGGTTAGAAACAAACACACAGCTACTCATTCAAATGCAGATGTGTTTTCACCCCCGAGGACTAAGATGAAATACCTCTTTTTTATAGAATAGGGTGACAAACGAGCGCACACTCCATCGTGCTGTGGCCCATAGACATCTACATCTACCCTCGATTACAAATCAAAATGCAGGTGCGTTGTCACCCGTGAGGACTGAGGAATGAGGAACGCCTCGTTTCCAGTAAAAAGGGTCTACGGCTCTCTACACTCACCATACGAAACACAGCATCCTTAAGCTACTTTTTTACGCTGGTATTGTGTGAGAGTGTGGCCCTTCTCGTTAAAGCTGACCTATTTGTGCTACAACCATAATAACTGTAGCATGGTTCTACCACGTATATGGATACTGTAGTCTATGGACACTTGCATTTAAATTCAAACAAAGGAGGCTAAAAATGTGTTGTTTACTCTGAGGGCTTATATACAATGCTAATATATTTGTATATCGCACCTTATATTTGTATATCGCAGTTATCTGGTTGAATCTGCTATTTGAATTAATGACTAGCGCGTTCATAAAATGACGACATTTAATTGAATGACTAAAGGACAACTCGTCAACTCGTTGAATGTAACGTTCGCGGTCTTGACTGAACGATATTCAGCGACATCGTCTAAAACAACATTGCAACTATACTGTAATATCAGCGACAGTAGGTTAGGGTGCGGCTGGCCCAAAGCCGCGTATATTTATAAAATATATAAATATATAATTTGAATCACCTAACTGATTTTACGTCCTCTATATTCAAAGAGCTATGATACAATCCGCTAACTAGTCAGACATTGAGTGCCGCTTGTTCAATCAACGTTCGGCCTAGTCATTCAATTAAATGTCGTCATTCAATGAACGCGCTAAGTCATTCAATCAAATAGCAGATTCAACCAGATGACTGCGACATATACAATGCCTCACAGCCTGTAATTATACAGTTTCTCTATAAGTTTTAGGCCGGAACACAGCAGTGGAAGCACTGCTCTCGGGCGGAAGAAATAATTTACAGTGTGATACTTAGTACAAACAAACTTGTAAAAAACATTCTGACAAAACCTTTTGTATTCAATCGTGAAACTAACGACGGAGTAAATCATTTTGAAAAACTTCAATGTACACTTCTAGCAATAAATCCTCGCACTAGAAAATGGGTTTGCGACTCGCGTACATAAATCCGCGCCGTAGCCGCAATCTCATCAATACTATTACACCGCATTGATTCAATAATGAATGCTACGAAATGGATTTCCCTTTTCTATGTTAGTTTCAATTTCGCTTTAACGTGAAATACACGATTATTTGAGTGAACACTTGCGATCAAATTCAGAAAAATGGGCTGCAAATACGTTGTCAGTCTAAGGATTACGGATGCATGTGGCTCAGAATCATGTTCTGTGACATTTTCCCTAGATATCCATATCCATTTTCCATATCCCCTAGATATGAGGCTTACGATTAGCATTAAGGAATTGCAATGATAACAATTAACTTCCCAGTGGGAAGGGGAAGTTATTGTAATGGGTCCGATTTTGCAAATTCGAAATTTTAACATATCTCCAAGTTTCAAGGTCTTTAGAGTCGAGTAGTTTGTCCTAAAGAGGATTTCTGTGTGTGCACATGTTTATACGTGTGTATGTTCGGATTCAATTTTCGCCTCGTGTATCTCGAGAACAAAGAGTCATATTGACATGGGACCAGTTTCATTTAACGCATAATTATGTAACTTAGACCTCATTAAATTTTGAGCAAAATCGGTGAAGTCGTTTTTTATGCCGAATGAAAAATTGTATTAAAATATTAAAACATATATTTTTTTATTCTTTCCACTGGGAAGTTAGTCGTGTGGACCTTTCGGATCGCACCTAGACCGCCATTTTAATATTGGAGTTCGTCTGAGATGTTGGTTTGTGAATTTCTGGTTATGGTTTATTTATGCCACCGAGTAAGGGGCACATAATTACAGACTATAAATCATTTCATCTTAGTTTCAAGAACTATTTATACGTTTTTTACGTGCTACAATCATAATATAGCTAATAATATAGCTATATTATGATTGTAGCACGAATAGGCAAAACCAGGGAAGGACCACGCTCTTAATACCAGCATTAGATAGCATCTCGGAGCATGCTGCTATGTTTCGGAAGTTGATTTAAAGAGCCCGAGACTGTTATTACTGGTAACTGTCCATTCCATCTTAATCCTCAGAAGTGACGATGCACCTACATTTTGATTCTTAATCGAGAATCATAGATGTCTATGGGCATTTACTTTCAGCACAGCCTCCATTTACCTTCCACTTACCATCAAGTGGGACTATGTGCTCGTTTGTCGTCCTTATCGTATAAAAAATTATTCACAGTAAACAAAATTTTTGCACATATTAATAAAGTACCCACATAAAAATGTATATTTTTTGAAATAAAAAATTCATTTAATAGATTCTTAAGTCGGAGCTTTAATTTTTTGAAACATTCTTAACAGTCTTACCAACGCCTTCAGAAGCTTGTATATTATAATGTGGTACCTAATCATTTCATATCTTTTATTTTTAAATTCTGTTTTACTTTTCGAAACCATTTATTTAACCCTTTTGTATAGATTTAGTAATACAACCTTATATAACATAACATGTTATAGTCTCAAGGCAAAGTAACAGGTAGAATGCCGTCTATATAGTTACATTGAAAATTTAATTCCCTATTTTTCGCTGGTATTTTTGTGTATTTTTTTCTTCAAATTTAAATGCAACCTCCCTTGAGATAAAGCATAATATTTAATACAAAAAACGAAGCATGAAAATCGGTTTGGAATTGATGAAAATACCACGTAATATTCATTCAGAATACTGTCGAATTAAGAAAAACAACAAACAACCTTCTTTTTT